TTATCATTGACTATTGACTATACTACTGATTTAACCTATACTAATAATTAATATTTATGGAATACCAACTATTTTATGTATTTTATATTATATTATTATAAAAATAACTTATCCAGTTAAAAACATTTGAATTAAATAATTTATAAAAATACAAACATTTTATCGAGGTTGTAATTAATATTGATATCATTGGGTAATGGGTAAGTAGGTAATTGGAAGTGTTAAGTATTAAGCTTGATGAATAATATAGAGTAGTTTTTATAGAAATTAAAAAAATATTATTCACATTATAAATAAATCAATATCTTAAGATAAAAAATTAAAATAGACTATTTACCACAGTAAAATAATTTTATTATATTATTATAAAATGAACATATCATATAACTACGAATTTATTTAATAATAAATCTAAGTTGAAATGTAACAAACAATTTTGATAAAAATTGTATTTTATTATAATAATTTCATAAATCGTAATAATATGCATAAAACACTGATATCATGTAGGTAATTTATATAAATATAAACGTACTACGTAATATTATATAASCGATATTTATAATGTTAATTATTTTAATTAATATTAAGTATTGTTTAACGACTTTGTTATATATGAGAAGAAGATTTAAATTCTATACTCCTTGCATATAAGTGATAGTATAAGAATAAATATATTTTTTTTAGTGATCAGTAGTATAGCAATGTACAATTGTTTAATTATTATAAACTACTTATAATTTAATATTAGAAAAGATAACAACTCATTGATTAAAAATATTAAACAGAATAATATATTAATATTTCATTTTTAAAGATATGCCACATTAAAATAATTATATATAATCTATACTATGTCTAACCATAGTCAGAGACAGCAATGATGGTATCGAGATAGGAAAGATGAATGCCACCGGAGCCGAGAAAATGATTTATGTAGATAAGGACTAATACATACAATAAAGATGATTATGATAATTATTCTTGTTAGCCATTAATTATAAAGTGAATTTATCATTACAATAGTGCGAATTTCAATTATGAAGTAATAAAACAAATCCGAAGAGAACATGCATGTCACAAATAAACGAACTCATGTTTTTTTATAAGACAATACGACAAATTATGAGTGTTATTTTATGACTAACAAATGTTAAACATTCAATTATTTATAATATATTATATAGTACGTATATAACTATTACATAGAGAACCCTTAAAAGAATCATTATAAATTAACTTTTAAGTAGCAAGGTTTACCAAATTTTCATTATAATTAATCAAACAYAATTTATGATTTACAATGTCTATATCGAACGGTATAAGCTGTATAAATAAATTCAATGATGCACATTCTTAATAAAGAATTAAAAATATAGCTCTTAATAATATAATTGAAAGCACATCACTCTCAAATGTTTTAAGTACTTCAAAAACTTAAATAGAATATGTACGTGAAAATTAACGAAGTGCAATTTAAGCGTTCAAGTTGAATCATTAGGACATTTTAGAAAGGGTAAAATATAAAAATAAATAAAAGAGTACATACAAGTAGTGACGGGGAATCCCTGACTGAAACAAGGGGCGCGTTCGATAAATTCGTAACCATGGATACCATCTCTCGGAAAACTACCAATGGGAGCGTTTTAAAAAAAGCTCCCTACAGTGTGTAATCCACATGCAAATTCCCCCTCACCATCCCTCTTTTATTCCCACTACGTTGTACTATAACTGCAATTAAAGAGCTTATTCAACCAGCAAAAACCCCTTCCCTGAGGCAGTTTAAAAGCAAATTCCTCTTTATTTTCATTTGTAAAACTAAAAGAAAGATTAATCAACATAAAATTCTGAAAATACCTGTGATTAGAATCCGTATGCAGGTCTTGTCTCACTCCCGGAGTTACAATTGCAGGATGAGAATGATGGGTATGATGGGATAAATGGTGATGAGGTGATGGACCAGTCATCAGTCCAGTCGGTGAAAACCTATACAGCTCACTAAAAAAATACACAATATTTTGTTATGGATATAATATTCAATTATAAATGATAAAGGGGCATAAGGTTCCGCCCAAGAGAAGCGTATTTTTCTGCCCATTTAGTACAACTACCAAATTAAAAAAATGAACAAAATATGATTGTAAAATATATACCCGAAATACAATTAATTTATACAAAGTTATAAAGCATAATAGTAAAATAAATAATTGTTATCTCTTATATTTACCGTGATAATCATTTATAATTAATAAAAGAGTACCATTTAAAAAAGCTTTGTTATTTTTCCTCACCCGACAGTTACTCATATTAACGGCGACTTAGGTCTTCGCCACAACCAAATGTATACTTAACATTTACTTTCGATTTTAATAAATTAAACACGCACATTTTACGAGTAATAACATAGATAATTATTTCTTTTTGAGTATTTTTTGGTTATTATACTAATATTTTTTTTATATCATTATCWKAATTATCTGAATTATAAGTTATTTACTATCTCATATAAAATGTATACGATGAAATTMTATTAAAGTTAATTCTATATAATTTTTTTATAAAATTGATTCGTTTTTATTTTTCATTTTTTTTTTTGGAAACTATTTTTTAGATGTGAAATTTTTGCAGGGGTACTTTCAAACAAAAATTTATCATAATATGTATTTATAAAAACATAATTTTTAAATTAAAAAAAAATGATATTGATTTAATGTTTTTGTACGTAACCATAGGTATAATAATATATGATATGCCTAATGCTAATATTGATTAATTATAGAAATTTACTAATTATAGTACATTCGTACTCGGAGAAAAAATATTACTGTTATTTTAAATATATTGTTAAAATGCAATATACCTAATACACACAAAGCTCAAAGTAGCATAGCATATTTCTAATAACATATATTATTATTAACATACACCTACAATAAATTTTAAAAAACAGGAAAAGTCGCTCTGCTAGTCAGCTTTACAATAGATGTTTAGTGTACCTAAACGACCTAAATTGAATTAATATGCCATTGCGTAAAGATCACTGTAATGGACGTGTTAAATTTGAATATATATAGATATATATAATAAATATAAATCATCGAATCCGTAAAACGATTCTGAGCTAATACAGCAGTGTATTAATGTACAYTTCTATGGATATTTTTTGATTATTTATTGACTTATTAGTAATTTATTTTTCTATTAATAAAATTGTAGATTGATCAAATGTTTTCAAACAATTACTCGCATAAATATTATAATGTCAATTAATTTAAGATCTAGTACCTAATCATGTAAATTGAAAAAACTTTCAAGTCTCGAAGAACTACTAATAATATTTATTGAATAACAAGAATCGTCAAAATTTGAACTTGAAATGTTAATAAAACTGTATGATTTCTTAGATTTTTATATTTCTATAATAATAACTTTTGAGGAACGTTGCATGTATCAAAACGACAAAACACCATATAATTTAAAATCTTAGTTATTAAACTATCTAATAGCTTAAAACTACAAAATATAATTTTGAAATTTTCATAATATTATAGACGAATTTTGACAAAATTTGTACTTTAATGCATTTACATGCAATAACAACTTTGATCATGTATTTTCTGTAATATTTTTAAATTTTT